AAAAAAAAAAAAAAAAAAAGATATCCCTCAAAAAACAAAAGGACAAGAGTCACCAGCTCCCACACAAAGTAAAACATGGGAACCTAATTTTAACAGTGTTAATAAGGAGCAACTACCAATAGGTCACTGAATCAATAAGGCCTGTGTTATAACAGCCTCTTCTCCCTAAAAAACGGAAGCAAGTGGCACATACTTATCTGAGAACCAGTTTCATCAATACTGTTGTTTTATCTGTCCAAAGATGAGTAGCAATATGTTACCAGTTTCACTACCTTTTGGAGTTTTGGATAACATTTCTATGCCATTATATTTACACTTTTTAATGAGTTAATTTTATGTGAAATGGCCATTCTAACTCTGTAAAATCAAGTTCGTACATAATAAAGCTTGCCCATAAAAATTTTTTAATTCCCTTTAATTATTTCAACTTATCAAGGACTGATAGTATTCACTTTCATACTGAGACGTAACATTTTTATATGTAATGAAGATTTTTTAATTTGTTTATGAACAAGGTTTATCAAATTTCTAGTATACATACTTTTCATTCTCTATCACAGATAATTCCACAAAAATAGTAAGATCAAATTTATCTTGAAATTGCAATACAATTCTCTGAGCTACAGCAGAGAATGTAAGTCAATTTCTGCTACTAAAAACAAAGCATTTGGGAGGCAGAGGCAAGAGGATCACTTGAGCCCAGGGGTTTGAGGAAAGCCTGAACATAGGCACTATAAAAAATAAACATAAAAATTAGCCAGACTTGGTGGCACGCACTCATAGTCCTAGCTACTTGGAAGGCTGAGGTGAGGGGACTGCTCGAACCTCGGAGGTCAGGGCTGAAGTGAGCCATGATGACACCACTGCACTCCAGCCTGGGGGATGCAGTAAGACCCTGTCTCAAACAGAAATAAAATTAAAAATAAAGCAGACATGATTTCTAAAAGACAAAATGTGGAAACATTTCTCAGAAAAACTGATATGAAAAAGTACAAAGTTAAACTCAGGAAACAAATTCTAAAGTAAAATTTACAACTTTTTTTTTTTTTAGATGGAGTCTTGTTCTGTCGCCCAGGCTGGAGCTCAATTTTCTTTTTTAACCTTAACAATAAAGTATGTTTGCTTACCCTAATCTCCAGTCTTAGCTCCAAGCTTACTTTAAAATTTTTTCAAAAATCCTATCCACAGAAAAGTACAATTTCCACATTTAACATGCTTCAGTTAATTTTATCTTTTTTATTTACAGAAGCTTTTAAATGCGACACCTAAGAAGGTCAACGCTTTGAGCAATAGAAGAAGCACATGTTATTCTTTGCTACATAAATGTAAGGATAAATTTATCTGGATATCTGTTCACCAGATACAAAGTAGGCAGCTACTCACTTAAACCACAGCTCTTCATAATAGAAGGTAGCTATAATCCCCTCAACAAAATAACCACTGAGAGACAGAGACACAGATCAAACACTTACGATGCACCTACTTCTAACAATCCCAACTTACCCTGAGATTCTAGTAGACATATCCAATAAAATGCTCCTCCATTCTAACTGCTCAAATCTCCAAATCCGTGCTGTTCCATCTCTGCTACCACTTAGGAACCTTAAAACATTTAGAACAGGATCTTATTATATTCACACACTTTCCAGCAAGGGCTACAGTAAAAATCACATGGAAAAAAAGTCTGTAATGTAGCTGTCCTGACAACAGGACAATCCAGTTAATTCAAAAGACAGGTATAACGTTAATTCAAAAGACAGGTATTTAGAGCGTATCTGGGTGGGGAAAAAATCTGATTTGCTATGATTTGCCTGGCCCTATGAAATAAAACACACCTCAAACTCAATCAATAGCTCTTCAAACAGATTAAGTTTTGAGAATACAACGTGCAAGAATGCAGAGAAGAAAAAAAACAAAAGTTTTGAAGTATAGGAAAATAAGCGCAATAGCTCCATTTTAAACATCTTAGTTATTAATTCAAATTAATTCATGCTGGATGCTGTGTAAAAATCAATCAATCTATTAACAAATTAAGGTGTCAACAATTAGCTTAGCAAAGGTACCTGACACACAATGGAGACAAAGGAGGAGGATATCATTTAAGTAATAATTTCTTTGCAGGATATATCACAGTGGTTTCTTGGAAAAACTTTTTTTAACTACCCAAACAGACCAGTCTGACCAACATGGAAAAACCCTGTCTCTGCTAAAAATACAAAATTTAGCCAGGCCTGGTGGTGCATGCCTATAATCCCAGGTACTTGGGAGGCTGAGGTAGGAGAATCACTTGAACCCGGGAGGTGGAGGTTGCAGTGAGCCAAGATCGCGCCATTCACTGCACTTCAGCCCAGGCAATAAGCGAAACTCTGTCTCAAAAAAATGGAAAATAAATAAATAATGAGAGAAAAATATACAAAAAATGACAGGTTAGCTATACTAATACATAGCACATTATATTTGCCTAATAGCACACACACACAAATGCACACACTTACCGATCACCATTGTTACAAAATTGGATACTATCTACTTTATCCTAAAGTAGAAAAGGGGGAAAAGGACAAATTAAGAAATGAGTATCTACACGGTCTGTGAATTTGAAAAAAACCGAAGTTTTAATACCAGAAGGCTATTTGCCTTAACAAGCAAAATTTGTACTTGTATTGCTTAGCCTCATCATTCAACATGTTTCATTGGATTAACTACAAACCTAAGACTACTACTAAAATACAGCTTTGATTTAAATGAAAGGCATATCCAACAGGAAAAAAAACCTTGCTTCTAAAATTAAAGTCATATTTATAATTACATCTGTTTAAAATGACTTATATGAAAGTGAAATGTGTGGCAAGTTGATCAAAATATAGACTTTAAAGCACCTAAAAACAAGGCATTTTCATCTGTACACAAAAAATACTGTTTTATTTCAATCTGTATTTCACAAATAACCCCTGGGTGTGGCCCAGCTTCCCAAAAGCTTCAAACAGAAGAAAAGATGACCTGATCCCTGACCAGTACTTCAGAACACTGACAGTTTTCTATCTTACTGTATATTAATAAAACTGCATTCTTATTTCATGAGCTTGGGTAGATAAGCAGGCCCACTTAAAATCAACCCACCCAGATCAACTATCATAATCTAGATTTTGAACATAAAGCTAAAATAACCACGGTAAAATATTAGGCCTCTCAAGTGCTAATCTGAGATGCCAATGACATCCCTCCCCTTTAGATATAATTCCTCACATGCTTAAAGTTAGAATGAAATTAACAAAAACTATATTATACCTGGATACTTTCATTGTTATAAATATACGAATATCTCTAGCAAAATTTTAACTGTCAAATATAATTTGACAAAAATTTAAGACATCATTCACAAGAATGACTTATCTCAGAAATGCAACTATGATTTAATATCTTAAAACTAAGTCCCATCAAAAGGTTGTAAATGACGATTCATCTGTTCAACAGAAAAAAAATTAAAATTAAAATTAGAACGAGTAACAATGTCTCTTAGCAATAATAGGAATAGCAATAACAATCTAAAGGATTCTAAAACGTGGATGCTTACAGTGTGGCTTTCAAGTTCCGCGATTTTTTCAGGTGCTTCAAAACCCAAAAAATACATTCTGATTACATGATCAGTACTACCTGTGGCTAAAAACATACCACCTGAAAGGAAAATGTTAAGGTTTAAACATCTAATTTACAACAAATACCTGAACAAATCAAATTTCTATATTAAAATATAAAACAAGATCCTTTAAAACTAAGTTTATCTCAACAGTTCCATTTTTTAACTCACTATATAAAGCTTACAAAACCATATTTGCAGCTTTAATAAAAAAAATTAATTCGATCTGGATATGTTCACAATCTCTTTTTTTTTTTTTTTGAGACGAAATCTCGTTTTGTCACCCGGGCTGGAGCCCCCAGTGGTATGATCTCAGCTCACTGCAACCAGGTTCAAGTGATTCTACTGCCTCAGCCTCCTAAGTAGCTGAGACTACAGGTGCATGCCACCACGCCAAGCTAATTTTTTGTATTTTTAGTAGAGACAGTGTCTCATGTTGGTCAGGATGGTCTTGAACTGCTGACCTCAGGTGATCCACCCACCTCAGCCTCTCAATGTTGGGATTACAGGCCCAAGCAACCTGGTGCGACCGGGAACATGGTCTCACTCTGTCACCCAGGCTGGAGTGCGGTGGTGAGATCACAACTCACTGTACCCTCAACCTCCTGGACCCAAGCAATACTCCCACCTAGTCTCCTGAATAGCTGGGACCACAGGTGTGCACCATGCCCAGGTAATATTTGTCTTTTTTTTTAAAGATGGGGTCTCCCTATGTTGCCCGGGCTGGGCTTGAATTCCTGGGCTGAGGCAATCCTCCCACCTTAGCCTCCCAAAGGACTGAGATTACAGGCATGAGTCACTGTGCCTGGCCTCCTGCTCTATATTATTAAGGGTGGCAATATGATGCCAATTAAGCACCAGTAATCTAAAAATATATTTAAGAAAAGGGGTTCTGAGGGCCAGGCACGATGGCTGGCACCTGTAATCCCATTACACTTTGGGAGGCCAAGGTGGGTGGATGACCTGAGGTTGGAAGTTCAAGACCAGCCTGACCAACATGGGGAAACCCTGTCTCTATTAAAAATACAAAAAAAATTAGCTGGGCCTGGTGGCACATGCCTGTAATCCAAGCTACTCGGGAGACTGAGGTGGGAGGACTGAACCCAGGAGGCTGAGGTTGCAGTGAGCCAATATCGCGCCACTACACTCCAGCCTGGGCAACAAGACTAAAACTCTGTCTGTCTCAATAAAAAAAGGGGAGGGGGGCTCTGCTTTCTAAACAACATTACATACCTAGCCCTAGCTTGTTGAAGTTTTTAGATTGTATGAGGGAAAAGTCTTTGATCTAGCCTAAAAACAGAAAGGTTACCACACAAGTTCACTGTACAAAAAATGAAAAAGAGTAATTTCACCAAGATATTATGTGTGAGAAATAAATTTAAACTATGAAACATACAGTTTAGCCTATTCGAAGAAAATCACAATTTTAGATTATCATACACATAGGACTGGCATAGGAATCACTTGTGTGGACACCTCAAGCCTCCCTTTTACCAGCCATCTCTTACATCACTGACTGATTACTACTAGAAATCAGAGAAAGGCAGAATGGAGGACTGGAAGACAAGAATAAGGCTAACAAAATGATCATCATAAATTCAACCTAATAAACATCGTAAGTCATTTAACATGTATCTAATAAAGGTTCTTAGCAATAAGGTAGTCATTTAATAAATGCTTTAAAAAAAAAGAAAAACTAAGAAAAAATGTGAAGAAGTTCTTACCAACACTAAAAGAAGAACAAAGCATTTGAACGCCTGGCCTAGGCTTTTCAGTGAACTTCAGGGGACGTGGGCTTTAAAAGAAGAAGATGTTGCTTTAAAATATCTTATTTTACCACATTAACACAGTTTAAAATATTGGCTTTAATATGGCATATTTAAATATTATAATTTTTTTAATAGACAGGGTCTCACTATGCTGCCCAGACTAGACACAAACTCTTGGGCTCAATGGAGCCTCCAGCCTCAGCCTCCCTAGTAGCTGGGGAACACAGGCACAGGACACCCAGCTATAATCTTATTTCTTTAATAGCTTATTGCATGTCAAATATTTCCACGTATTACGAGGTACATTTTACAAAATATAAAAAGATCAAATTAATCATATTTCCTTTAACCCAATACACTCAAAATATCAATATGTAATCCAAATTAATAAAATTATAAGATACTTTAGATTCTTTCATATCAAATCTTTGAAATTTTCCAGTGTGTATCTGACACTCAAAATACATCTCAATTTGACAATTCAGTTTTCATCAAAAATATTTTATCTATATTTGGATTTCCCAAAACTTGTTGAAAACTTCACATACTCAAGTTGTTCAAGATATACTTAATACTTTTCTAATGGGCAGGCACAGTAGCTCACACCTGTAATCCCAACGCTTTGGGAGGCCAAGGTGGATGGATCACCTGAGGTCAGGAGTTCGAGACCAGCCTGGCCAACCTGGTGAAACTTCATCTCTACTAAAAATACAAAGATTAACTGGGCGTGGTGTCATGAACCTGCAGTCCCAGCTACTCAGGAGGCCGAGGTAGTATAAGCACTTGAACTTGGGAGGCAGAGGTTGCAGTGAGCCGAAATCATGCCACTGCACTCCAGCCTAGGCGACAGAGCAAGACTCCGTCTCAAAAAACACAAAAGAAAAAATAAGGAAAAATGAATTTCTAATAACTGAATCAACTACAAGTTTTTAAATTTAAATTATCAATTCAGTTCCTCAATTGCACTAGCCTCATTTGAAGTGCTTAATGATCATGTGTGACCAGTAACTACTTATTACATTAGACAACATACATCTACAAGACAGGTCTTAAGACTCTCAAACGTTCACGCCTGAATTTCCAATTATACACCTATTTTTTTCAATGCCTTACTCTGTCTTTACAAAAATGCTAAGATAGAAAAGCTATGCTTCTTTTACAAATTAAACTATCAGGCCGGGCGCGGTGGCTCAAGCCTGTAATCCCAGCACTTTGGGAGGCCGAGGCGGGTGGATCACAAGGTCAAGAGATCGAGACCATCCTGGTCAACATGGTGAAACCCCGT